CCATAATTTTTAGTAAATCAGTCTCGAGTGATGCACTGACTCCAATACCATCTTTTTCGATCTTTGCCTGCAGAATTTCTAGCCTGTCCTCTAGCTGTTTATTCTGCAGTCGTGTAGCCTTGACAGTAGCACGAAGTTTTTCAGGTCCACAAGCTGACAATGGTGCTTTGGCTTTGGCCGGTACAGAAGATGATCTTGATTTTTGCTTACTTGCTTTAGTAATTGCCTTCAATGAATCGGAGCATGGCTTACATGTGTTATCCTGGTGATCTTGGGATTCCTTTAAAACGGTACAATCAACTGATCTGAAAGAAACAGAGACTTCATACACTGCCTCATTATTGGCCAGTTTTTTGGGTACTGAATGGCGAAGAATTGTTCCTGGGACTCTGTCATTACTAGTTGGGTCAATAGCAATATCTTTTACATCTGGGATGTGGGGCAATCCTTCACACAATTGTGAAGATTCAATTGAACGTAAAAGTTTATTTATGTTCTCAGCTCGAACAGATCGATTATATTCTTGATACAATGTGTGATCATCAGGGATAGGCCAGTGGTAGGTAAAGAGGGTAAACGTCAAACCAGAATCACAAATCATCGTATATTTTGGCACCGAATGACAGTCATCATATAGTTCCATCTTGAATCCACTACTGGTATCATCAAGTACTTTCCAACAACTGAGAACATCACTTTTTCGAAGCTGGTTTAACAGGGCATTTATAGTGGAGGTTGAGGAGGTAACACCAGTAGATGTGCTGGGTTGGTCTGGAAATGTATGTTTCACCAAAACACGATGCTTTTTAGTCTCCCCCTCATGACTTTGTGTTGGTAAATTCTCTGTAGGAACAGTGCCAGTAGCCAGAACCTTTCTTTTTGGATCTGCAAATGAAATAATCACACTGGACATATAATAAATGTCTGCCATGAAATTTTTTGTTAACATTATTCAAGCTTTTGCATTCAATACATTGAATTACAGACATGTCATTTAGCAAGAAAATGTTATATATTAACTGGCCAAAATATTTATTTTGACAGGTCAAATATCAGTGTCTAATTCCCTGCAATATATAAATCCCATAGTACCATACTTCCATGCATCAAAGCTACAGTATAGGCTAGAAATAGACACAAGTCCTAGTAAATCATCCCCTATATAAACACAATTATGCCTCGAGAAGGTCAGATATATATTAAAACCGTTTATAGTTATATACTATTTTGTTTATGCCTGTGGACTTATAAATAATGCATTATAGAATGGTTTCTTTGTTCGAGAACAAAGAAATTCTTTGTTCTATCTATTGAACTTGTAAAGATCAGACTTCAAATCAATACAGTATAATTAAAACCCATAGACGTACTTACGCGAAATAATACACTCGGGTTTGAAATGAAGGTCGCACAAACATATATTATTCGCATCAATGCGTGTCTTTAAATCCTCCGTAATTTCTCTCGTTCTCAAGAGCAGCCTCAGCCATTCTGCCTGGGCAGTACTCTTTAAAGCAGTTGTTTCGTCTCCATCCGTCGTGTTTGCACTAGGTATTTTGAAGAAGGAACGTTCAGTGTGTCTACTGGAGCTAGCACAACCAAAAAAAGTACATACTCCAAACGTGTCGTCTTGAAGTATGAATACCCTTGAATACTTGCGAACTGTAAAGTTTTCGCTCATATTGGGTAGACACCGCGCAAGAATGGAATATGATACAAACAGTATAATTTCTGTCAACACCTTGCACAGCGTGCTAATATCTCAAAACCAGTCCAAAGTATTATTTAAAGACGTGAATAGGATCAGATTATCCAAAACTTTAGGGTTTTAATCAAATACGGTCGTTCAATCAAAAATATGTAACTTGATACAACACGAAAGGCTTGTCGTCAATATATTTTCTATTACACTCCTCGCGAAGCGTCCCACTATCTCGTCACGTGACACAAATAAAAAGAGAACAATAACATATTTGTCACATGGTCTGGCTAGCCTAACCATCTCATTCTATTAACTGTGGTTTTACTAAATCCACTGAATCATCGTAAGAACTCACGGTCTTTCCGAATGGTTAGAGATGCGTGTCCCTCCAATCGGAGGTTAATCACTGAAGCCCTATCCAGTGTTAACTGGTCTCCAATGTATCATCTGAGCTCTTGTGACGAACAGTTCCAATATTTCTCTTCCATTGTCGATGGTATTGTTGATAAATATCTCCCGCTGAAACGTATTAAATCTGACAGCAGCGATAAGCCCTGGATTACTCCAGAGATAAAAAGATTAATATCGAAACGCCAAGTAACATGGCAGAAAGGAAACAAGCCTATGTTTCGATTCTATAGGAACAAAATTAATAACTTGTGTAGGTGTGCTCGCTCAAAGTATTATACCAACAATGTCGCTAATACCACTCAGTCGAATCCACGGAAGTGGTGGTATGCATGTAAACCAGTGTAATTCAGTTCTTAACTGCAAAATTGGTATCTTTTAATAAATTGAATAAATTTATTGCAGGTAGCCCCACATGCCTACCACAATGCCTTTGTTTCTGTGCATTTGTCATGTGTTTCTTCCTGAGATGTTTGTGTATAACCTCCCCTTTTGACTCCTGGCTCCTCTTTGACACCATATTTACTGCTGGCTCTACTGGTTCTAGAATATTTTGCTACATGAAGGACACCTCTTTGTGTGAGCTCTAAGGCTCTGTCTATGAGTGTTTTCAAATCCATACCTTTGCTATAATGTCTCGTTGGAGTTTGTCTGATGGGGTGTGTAGGGTGACAACTAGCTTAATCCCTTCATCTAATGTCATATTCTCAAACTCACAGTCTTTACCTTTTGTCCGGTCATCCAGTTGTCATGGGTTTCCTATGTGCTGTGAGAAAATCTCCCTAAGGGTCTGCCCTCATTTTTGAGGCTTTAAATTTTGGCACACATGCTTTAATGCTTGTTAATGTCACTGTAGCCATATGTACTACAATATTGCTGTTTATCTGCTGATATTATTAATCTGTGTTTTCCTCTATAATTTTCAAACAAGATGGGGACCCACTATTCGGCATCCTCCTACATGTTCAAAATAATTCGCTTGTCCTGCCTCGTAAAGATGAGGAAATGATGTCGCTCATACCAGGGGGGATTTATAGGGGGGTGTGCACCCCTGTTGGCCTTGGTCAACAGTGGTGCAAGGGGGGGGGGGCAAAAAATCAAATTCAGAAATAT